TTCTTGATTATTTACATAGGAATTTATCCTTCACATATGAATTTTAATAAATTCACCTATGATTATCCTTAAATTTATTTGTGTATGATCAACAAGGTTGAAATCTATTATATTCGCATGACGATCGTATAAAAAAATCTTTTAAATATATCAATTTCTTAGTGTACATTCATATTTTATAATGGATATAAATTAAAATATCTATGTGAATGATCACTTAAATAGATATATCAAATTTAAGTATGAGTTCGAACAAAAATTCACATTCACATGTTGTAAATAAAGCTGCAGAAAATTAAATTTTTCAATATATATATATATATATATATATATATATATATATATATATATATATATATATATATATATATATATATATATATATATATATATAGTTCAGGTTCAGTTGAGATCATTCTAATTTTGTGAGACCGTGAGACCAAATCTAAAAATAATTTTAAAATCCAAAATGAATAGAAAAATCCAAAAATTATTTTTTTTTAAATATTATTTTCGGAACTTGAATTAACTAAAAATAATAATAAAATAATAAAATAATCCTGTTTTTTTTAAAAAAATACGTGAAATATTCTAATAAAATATTACACTGACATATTCTAAAAAATAATTTAAAAATGCAGAATAAATGGAAAAATCAAAAAATTCTTTTTTTAAATATTATTTTCGGAACTTGAATTAACTAAAAAAAATAAATAAAATAAATAAAATAAAAATAAAATAAAAATAAATTCCATTTTTTTTAAAATACGTGAAATATTCTAATATAATATTACACTGACATATTCTAAAAAATAATTTTAAAATGCAAAAAAATGGAAAAATCCAAAAATTCTTTTTTTAAATATTATTTTCGGAACTTGAATTAACTAAAAAAAATTAAAAAAAATTAGAAAAAATAAAAAAAATACAAAAATGTGTCTCACGGTCTCACAAAATTAAGCCGTCTCACATGAACCTATATATATATATATATATATATATATATATATATATATATATATATATATATATATATATATATATATAATTTAGGCGAATATGTGAAATAAAAAGTATGGACCATATTCATAACAAATTTAAAGTCTGGACAAACCTGTAACAAATTTTCAATGATAGGCTAAAAATGTAAAATTGAAATATGACCTACTAAACCAAGAACCCTATCAAGATATCATGTGAAAAACTAAAACTTGTGGAAAACCTAAAACTTATAGTTCTTTACCTCGTTATAACATTTTTTTTTTGTTTGTTGGCAACATGAAGATATTTTAAATAGTGTTTATTTCCAAAAAGTATGGTATTAGACATTGGACTTAGTTAATAGTTATTACTATATTATATTAAAAAACTGAAAAGTTACTTATTAAAATTTTTTAATACCTAAAATAGTTAATTTACTAATTTATATTATTAGACGAGAAAAATGTTTCATATCGTTACTAGTTTATATTACTAATTTATATTACTAGACGATAAAAAATTTTCATATCATTACTAGTTTTTAACTATTACAATTGAAAATTAGAACAAAGTTGGTAATATACCAATACCATTACCAATTTGTACTAACCAAACCTGTTGATAACAAAACAATTAGTTGGTATCAAATATAGTTGGTACGGTACTGGTAGCAAAAAATTTGTATTAACTATACCATGTTCAGCCCTAGTACATGTGATGATGAACTTGTGAAGTGTTTGCTATAATATTACAAATATTCTATATTGTAATGTCAATATATAAACTTCTTTTGAATTGTTTTTAAAGATGATACATCCTAAAACATGCAACTGATGTTTTTATATCTTGTATAAATTTCTTTCTATATTTTAGAGTGAAATAAAAAAAGTACACGACACAATTCGTTTGACATTTATATGAAATTCTTTAATTATATACGATGTTGCAGGGGAGAAATTTGGAACACTTAAAGATCCCATTGATTGACATAGTGTCAGCCACCGAGAATTTTGCTAAAACATACATCATTGGGACAGGGTCATATGGTGAGGTGTACAAAGCAGAGCTTGACCATTTTGATAACGAAAATGTCTTGTTGTCAGAACATAATAATAAAGAAGGAATTCCCAAGAAACACAGTACTGTAGCTATAAAACGCATACTGAAAAGAGAAGACATGCAAGGAGAAGAAGGATTCCTTCGAGAAATTGAAATGCTTACTAGTTGTAAACATCCTAACATAGTCACTCTTCTTGGATTTTGTGATGAAGATGGTCATATGATACTTGTTTATGAGCATGCTTTTAATGGAAGCCTCGATGATTATTTGGGAAGAACCGGTAACTTGAATAATCTTACATGGGTGCAACGTATAAAGATTTGCATTGATATTGCATGCGGATTGAATTATCTTCACACTGAGATAGAGGACGAACGAAGGATAATACACCGCGACATAAAAAGTGGTAATATTTTATTAGGTGAGAACTGGGAGGCGAAGATTGCTGATTTTGGGCTTTCCAAATTTCGTCCGGAGAGTCGACAACTGAACACTCTTTACACCCAAACTATTGCAGGCACGCAAGTATATTTGGATCCAGAATATGATTACACGGGTAAGTTGAAAAATGAAACAGATATTTACTCATTTGGAGTCGTTTTGTTTGAGATTATGTCTGGGAGGCTTGCAAATGATCCAATTTATACCAAGGAAAATAGCAATGGGATTGCACCGGTGGCAAGACGACGTTTCAGTGAGGGAACAATGAAGGAAATGGTAGATTCTAGGTTAATGGAAGAAACACACGACACCATTTTCACTTTGAATAGAGGACCCGACCAAGATTCCTTGGATATATTTTCAAAAATTGCATATCAATGTGTGGCAACAACTCAAGCTGAGCGTCCTACAGTCGAAGTCATCATCAAGAAACTTGAGGAAGCGTTATCTTCTCAAGTAAGTCCATTTCTAAAAAAAAAAAAAAAAAACCAAACATATATATTATCTCCCAGTGCCAAAAAAACCATTATATATGTTTTATTTTTATCCATTAAAACCATGATACGTTTGATTTTGCCTAAACTAATTCTCTGTGACGACTTCATGGAAATTTGCGTTCATTAAAATTAACCAAAATATATCAATCTATACATTCATCCAAATGTCCATTAAAACTAGTACAATAAGCTCCTACCGGTTGATCTCAAAATTTCTTTAAAAAATCATAACATAAAATGGTCAAGAAGCATTAATTTATGCAAGATCAGAACATAAATATAGCTAAAATGGTTTTCATGTTAGGGTAAGAATGTGGATGTATTAATACAATGATGATATGTGTAATTTGTAATATTTATCAACAATTTATTACTTATTATAATTCGTAACAAGGTTTAAAGAAAATGGATATTAATACAACGATGATATGTTTCCACTTTGATATACAATTGAAATGAAGTTTTTACTTGAGATTTATCCTACCGCTAGCAAATTTGGAATTCTATATGAATATTGACATTGGTAGAGTTGACCTTAACTTGTTAGGGAAGGAGTATAACTACATTAAGTTTAGTTAAGAATTTCAGCTTATTTTTAAATTATTGAGTAACTAAGTGTTTGATGATTCACAGGAACACCCCAAGGACAACCTCAAATTTTCACTTGAGGACATAGAATTGGCGACAGGAAACTTCAGCGACAACAATCTCATTGGAAGGGGAGGACATGCAGAGGTATACAGAGGAGATGTTACACAAGGTAATGTGCGTAAGACGATTGCTGCAAGAAGATATGGCAAGAGTAATGGAGATGAGGGGGAACGAAGATTTTTGATGGAGCTTCAAATTCTTTTGGAGTATAAACATGAGAATATCATCGGTCTTGTAGGATATTGCAACGAAATGGATGAAAAAATCATTGTTTATGAATACGCGCCTAGAGGAAGTCTTGATATGCATTTGAATGACCTTGATCTTACGTGGATGAAACGGCTTGAGATATGCATTGATATTGCAAGTGGGTTGGACTTTCTTCATGGAGGTGCGGGAACACAAGAGGTGGTGATGCATAGAGACATCAAAAGTTTTAACATTCTACTAAATGATGATTGGAAAGCAAAGATCAGTGATTTTGGGATTTCGTCAACAAGTCCTATAAATAAGGATATGGACTTTGTCATTAATAATGCTTATGGCACACTCGGCTATATTGACCCACTATACATGGACTTGGGTTTCTTAACCGAAGAATCTGACATATACTCGTTGGGTGTTGTTTTATACGAGATTGTGTCTGGCAGATTGATCTTTGAATACATAAATGATGAACTTCAAATTCTAACTGATTTGTATAAACGTCGTTATGAAGAAGGAAATTTTGATGAGATGGTGTTTGATGGTATAAAGGAACAAATTGCCCCAAAATCATTGACTACGTTTCTAAAAATGACCTACGAATGCTTAAATGATGAAAGAGAAAAACGTCCTACAACAGGAGAGGTGTTACTTCGACTTAAGCAAGCATTGGAAATCCAGGTACGTAAGTTCTTAATTATGTAATTTCAAGGACATTTCAGATATGAAAAATGTATGAAAACATTCCTTAATAAAGTTTGTACGATCTTTAACAAGCACTAAATAAAGTTTTGTCATGAATATCAAGTACTAAACAATGATTTTTCATGAATTAATGAAGTAAGCACTAAACAATATTTCCAATAACATTTTTTGTTGCTTATTTTTAATATATTTTGGATTATATATATATATATATATATATATATATATATATATATATATATATATATATATATATATATATATATAAATGAAAGAGTCGAAAAATTGCATGAATTGAAATATAAATTTTTATTCGTTGACTAATTAATATACAGGAGGATTATGAAATATGGGAGCCTAAATTGCCAAATGACTATGAAGAAGTATTAAAGATGTCAATTTTTTGTGACATCTACTCTACTAATAAGAAAAAGGATCTCTACAACATGCTTTCCAAAGGAATCCTCCTTCAAGAGGGAAAAGTGGTAATTATTAGCTCCTTCTCATATCCAATTAAATCATTTTTTCTCTATATTTCTTACATCTTTTGCTCATTACAATTTATAAAAACCAATTGACTTTTCTGATATGTTGGTTATGGAACATATTTTGAATTACCTAAAATCCTCCAACTTTAGGAGTCAAATACTCTTTTGCTCATGATCCATCACAGCTGCTTGCCAAGACAAACTAAAAATCATGATTTATGCTATTTATCAATTCTTTTGGTCTAAACCAATTTTTCCTACAAGGTATCTTGTGATATAAAACAATGTTGTGAGAGATGGTGTTCAAAGGCATAATATATAGAATCTGGGTATGTTTTTTACAAGAATTGTAGAAAGAAAAGAGAATTCGAATGCTTATCAGAAAAAAATTAAAAACAAACAATATTTCAATTCATATATATCCTCCTCTAACTTGATCGATCTGACTTTTCTTAGACAATCGTTGACTTGTTGACTCTTTCTTTTCCTTGCGTAAGTAAACTTCAGTAAAGGCTTAGTTATCAGATTTTTTTTTTGGTATAACAGATGTTTTCACTAGCCGAAAATGGAGAAAGAAATGTAATGATATCAGCAAAAAAAATTTCCTACATAAACCGTTGTCTACATAGATGGCGATCTGTTCCAAAATCAAGGTTCTACTCTCTTTCTGATCTGTATATGTTATGTTCAATCGTGCATGTAAACATGAGAACTGAGAAAATTTTACTAAAAATTAGTAGCCTATTTTCTACTTCCATCATAATCATAGTCCCATTTGTATGCCATACGTGGTGCTATAAAAGAATTATATGTCACATGTTCCTCAACATTCACATAACAGGGAGGTTATCAGAGCAGAAAATATTTTACATTTACACTCCACTATCATACATTACACTATGAGAAGTGTTAAGATGTAAGATTGTAAGTAGTATTGGATTTTATTACTTCTTGATGTACCCTTTTATCTAGTTTCTTATTTAGCTTATTCCTTGTATATAAAATGAGGGCTTCACCTCTTTTTCTAGGAACCGAAGAAATCTACTATTTCTAAAGTGATTACATAGGAATCTCTATATGAATACCTATAAACATAAAATCCTAGCAACTATTGGGTCGATCCCATATATATAAAAAATACATCGAATTCCAACTCATTAACAAGAATCAATGTGTTTGTTACGATAAAAGTAAAAATGTGACTTTGAACTCTTTTCCAAAAAAATAGAACTATTATATTTATTTTGGGTGGAAATAAATATTAAATTCATGTGCAGGTTTAAGGTAGTAGCAGAGATGTTAGATATTTTGAATTTAAAGATGAAAATCAAGACAAAAAGTACCATATATGTTGAAGGCATTGAGTTTCGAGCCATTGACAATGCAAGTTTCAGAATACTATTTGGTTTCCATTACATATTCTTTTGTTTTGGAACAGCGAAGGATGCATAGGCAATCTCACTTTATTTTTTAACAATTTCTTTACAGGTGAAACATGAAGAAATAAAGGAATCGAAGGAAGTCCAACATGTATTGAAACCAGACTCAAACATGGATCTCATGCAACAATTGCCAACTAATCCTGAAGAAATATTTAAAAGATCTGAAAACGATGATAACTGTGAAAAGGTAATTTTTTGTTGTTAACCAAAATGTATTTGTAGGACGAAAATTTTCCTTGTCGTTTTGTGATAATTAAGTTCTTTCTGATCCTATGATGAACAGTTGTTCTTGCTCAACGAAGTGAACGGAAAGAAACATCTTATGCTTTCCGCAAATGCGGTTGTTTACAACTCTTCTGATGTGAAGCTTTTCAAAACAAAACCATCGATTCAAACCAGGTTTGCTATTTAAACCAATTCTAAACATGAAAGTTTTTCTTATAAATTCCCTATGGAAATCCTATTCATCTATATATTGAATAGTGCAATATCATTAAAAAAAAAAAAAAAAAGTTTCACCCATGATATATATATATATACGTATATGCAGATTTGCAGAGGTGATTGAGCTTCTACCACAACAAGTATTCCGTATAAATTGCACCATTAAAAGTCAAATGTTATCACAAGATACAGAGTATGCATGTTACCTTGTCTACAAGCTTTCCGAGAAATGCCATGGACTGCATTGCCCTGTGAAAGTTCGAGATCTACTCCACAGGAACAACAAGGAGGTTGGAATTGTTTATTTTAGATCCCCAAGCCCATGGAATTTACATGAATCTAATCATGCTCCCGAACAAAGAGCAGATGGATTGATGGAGGTTAAGATCTGGAAATTCAACTTAAATCATGAAGTTACAAAAAATGATCGTTTTCGTGTGAATTTGAAGTTAATTAGTTATGAAGGAACTTTGTCTGGTTTTATTGTATGTGGCCTTGAGTTTCGGCCCAATGTAATGTGTGAAGTTGTTTGTTAAATCAGTTGTATATATATTATTTTTATAAAATTGAATTAGTCAATTGATAATTCAATTCACAATTTAAGTGTTGAATTGTTAATCAGTGCTCTGTTACAGAAACTTTTGATTGTTACTGCAGTTAGATTTTAATATGTAGTTTTTTTGCATTGTAGTTGTTAAATTTCAGCAATTGAACTTGAGAAGAAAATGATTAAGTTGAATTGTAAAATAGAAATACATATTGATCTTGTTAATGATATCAGGGAAACTCTAATGAATATTATATCTATCTGCTAATCACAAAAGTTTTCCAATTAAGATGTTGAAGATAATAATTAAATTTCAATCTTGTATTTGACAATGAGTGGAAATTAATAGTTGCTGTATATTCTGTTATTGTAGGGACTTAAAAAAAAAAAAAAAAAAAAAAAAAAAACTTGTTGCTTTTTTGAGATGCAAGGACCGAAAGTTGCAAGAAGTTGGAAGTGTGAGGAAATAATAAACCAACGATTATTATACATCGTTTCATAATTTTATTACATAGATATTCATAGCATTCTCATTTTTTAATATATTCATCGAATTTTTTGTAATACAATTTTCTAAATTTTGGCAATACGTATTTTTAGTATAATTTAAAAAACAAAATTTCTGAATATAAGGTTATTAAATATGTACATACTCCATAGGAAAGAGGTAGGGGTGTGTAAAAAAACCGCAAAACCGAAAAACCGAGCCGATCCGGCCAATCCGATACCGAAAAAACCGAAACTGAATAAAGCCGAAACCGAAAAAACCGAATACCTACGGGTCAGTTTCGGTTTGGATATTTAGATATCCGTGGATATCCGAACCGGACCGTCATATATATATATATATATATATATATATATATATATATATATATATATATATATATATATATATATATATATATATATATATATATATATATATATATATATATCCAGTTTTAAATAGAAATGTTAACAACAAATTAATCAAAGATGCCCAATGCCCATACAGTAGCCACATAAATTAGCATCATGTACATATCGTTTTTATCAACTTTATCAAACGTATGTTTTTTTGAAATTCATAAAATGTATATTTTATCATGTTTATAAAACGTATGTTTTTATCGGTAAGAATTGAATATATATTTTTTTTCTGATTTTGTTAGTATTTGATTTCATAAATAAATGGTTGAAATACAGTTACTAGTTTTGATTGATTATTATTTTTTATATTTAACGGATACCTGTTAACCGAACCGTGGTTACCCGCCTTCATACGGTTCGGTTCGGTTCGGGTTTTTAAGCAATTCGGATCGGTTTCGGTTAGTGCATGCAAGGTACCCGCCCCGTTGTTTTGTGGCACTCATGTATTATTTTATTTAAAAGAAAAAATAGCTATAAAATTCTAAACATCTAAAGTTTGAATTTATTAAAAAAAAAAATAAGAAAAATATTGAATTATTAAAATTAAAGTGTTTTTTTTAACTTAAACAAATAATTTAGATAACTAAATAAAAGAAATTTATAAGACTTTAATTTAATAATTTTTAAATTAGAAAGAAAGTACATTAATAAAATTAATATGCATTTACTATTACATTTAAATATTATATGTAATTTAATAAAATTAATGAAATATGAAAAATAATAATAATAATAATAATAATAATAATAATAATAATAATAATAATAAGAATAATAATAATAATAATAATAATAATAATAAAATGCCATTTGGCATAATGCATTAGATTGGAAGAGGATAAATGGCAAAATTATTTTCATTTATTAGAAAGGATTTTGTGCTCCAAGTTAAGTAGGCCTATGCGGAACCACAATCAGCAATCCAACATGTCTCGAGCACTATCGCGCTCAGGGGTTAGGAAGCTTGTGCCTTCTTAGGTAGAAGACGATATTGTGGTGGGTCCGATAATATCAACAACAACCCACTATCGTTTCAACATGTGGCTCCAAGACCTCTGTCTTTAATCCAAAACCTCGACATACAGAATCTCACTGCTAACCCTCATTCCCATAATGTTATGAATCCTCATCAATCTACTTCAATTGTTGAACATCTGAAAGTTCTTGATGCAACCATTATTAAGGTGTCACCGTCCGCCAAGGTTTAATTCATGGTAACAGAAATTAAATTGTTGTAACTAATTGATTTGAAATTCATGATATAATCTTGATTGAAGTTATTGTAGTGTGTGTTTCGTTGATGTATCTTCCCCATATGTCGTGTTTTTCCAAAGTTCTTAAAGCTTCGTTGTTCTTCCTCCTAATCTCGATAAACATAGAGATCGAGAGAAACAACACGAGCAAATTCAGTTAGTAAGTAGTAAGGAAATATAAGGATTTCAAGAGTCTGTATAATTGCAATTTCTATATATTAGTTGTCTTGAAGAATTTAGTATATTTTAGTGTGTTTAAATGGAATTTAGAAAGAACCACAAACAATTGATTTTTCCACAAAGTCAAACTATGAAAGATTCTTATATAGCTTAAAATGTAATAATACTCTGGATAGATTTACTAAAGTTCTAACATGCCTTGATTAGGGTTAAAATCATCAAAAGAAAAATGGTTGACTTTCCGATCTAAATCTAACCAAGCTCTGTAATTCGTATATGATGCTTATAGAAGTCAGTGAGCAATGTTTTGAGGATAAAAAAGTCAAATAATTGTGGATTGTCTAAGTGTAACATCCCAAAATTTAAGACCAAAAATTTTATTTTTAATTTAATAATTATAAAATCATTTATCTGAAAACATCCATAGTATCAACTCATATAAAAACCAATGTATCAATAGTCAAAACATGTCATGATAAAACAACATCAAAGTATAACTCCCAAAGATCTCATGTGCGGAAATCATGGTGTGATGCGCTGCAATCATGCTAACTCCTTTCTTTCGAAGAAGAAGTGCCTGAAACCAAAACTGAAAACTGTAAACACAAAACTTAATGAGTTCCCCCATCATACCACATACCATACAATAACACACTGCCTAGCATATTTGGGTGCTGGCCTACCCCTTCGGTCTCTTTCAACCGATAACTACCTAGCATATCAGAGTGTTAGCCTACCCCTACGGTATCTTTCAACCGGTAACTTCCTAGCATATTTGGGTGCTGGCCAACCCCTTCGGTCTCTTTCAACCGGTAACGGGGACTATTTCACCCTATCGCTACCATATATCATCCTAGTACATAAACGCATAAGTCATATATTGCCTAGCATATATGGGTGTTGGCCTACTCCTTCGGTGCTTTCGACCAGTTACCGGGTCTATCCCACCCCTCCTAACACTATCACATAATATCATAGCATACTAGCATATATATAACATAACAAATTGTAACAACATAAATTTTCAAAACAATTTTTCATTTTTCAAATAACATAAACCATCATTTAATATTCTAAAATCACATGTGTAACAAATGTCATTGTAACAAAATACATCCCATGATCATAAAACAGTTCCTTCGTCAGTGTGTACAAATCACGCTGGCGCCTTCCCACGGTCCTCGTTAGTACCTGAAACACATAACACAACAAATGTAAGCATAAATGCTTAGTGAGTTCCCTAAAATACTACTTACGCACATACGCCTTTTCAGGCCCTAACCTTCAGGTCCATGTGTCTCAGGGGACTTCCGTCCCGACTCGGTAAACCTTCTGGTCCTACCTGCGTCAACCTTACGGTCCACATCACAACGCCTTCCGGCCCATAACATATATGCCTTTCGGCCCATAACATAATGCCTTCCGGCCCATATCAAGCATAACATATATAGCACATAGAAACGATTAACTTATCATATACAATGCATACAACTCATAACATATCCGACCTTCCGGTCACACAATAAAACCCTTCCGGGTACAGTATAGTGAGAAAACTCACCTCGTGGAAAGCCTAGAATCTCACGCGCTCGTTATCTCCGAATCTCGAACGAAGACTCAACCTCGCCTAATCATAACGAATATCGTTTTAATTAATATAGACTTCCACATCTATACTTTACCCTTATTAACATTCCTTAGAGGGGTAAAAGACCATTTTACCCTTCCTTGACTCAAGGTCCTCATGTTGACCAAAACCCTAAAAGTCAACAAAAGTCAACATCCTTTAGTACGTGGGGCGTACAGACTGATGTACGCGGGGTGTACATCGCCAACCCAAAAGTCGGGGTCTCCACCCAGTATGCTGCGCGTATTGGGAGTTACGCCCAACGTAATAGTCAGATCTAGACATTCTTCATTTCTGGTCTTAATCGGTTAAGCCACTTCTTCAACTTCCAGATCCGGCTTTATTTAAGCCTCCTTACTCATAAAGTCAAAACCTTTAAGCCTTGGCATGGATGTAAAGTCTCTTACACTCCTTAACACCTTTCCATTTCAACTCAAGGATCTAGATCTCATGCATGGCTAATCATTCACGTCCAAGATTACATTTTTATGAATCTACAACTCAAATGGACCAGAAATATGATGGATCTAAGCTAATGGAGACCACTTGCTCATAAAGTCTCCACCTTTGGGACCAAACCCTAGAAAATCGTCCATAAAGCATACCACAAGAACTACAAGTCAAGATCCAAACTTTTTACCTTAGAATGAAGCTCCAACCTTTGCTAAGCACGGATCTACACTTGAACACCAAATTTTAGCCTTCACAATGGACTCCTCTTCTCCTTTGCTACCTTGAAATGACACCACCAAGCTTAGAACACTCACAAATGAGCTAGGAACGAAGGAACACTCTCTTAGGGTTTCTTTCTGAGGGATGGTGGCTGAGGAATCAAGCCATCCCATTCATTTTATAGCCAACCAAAAAATTACGGTTTTTGGGTCTGGACCAGTTACGCCCAGCGTAACCTTGGGTACGCCCAAGGTACCCGCGGGAGGATGTGTCTAAATGAAGCGCGCGAGTACGCGCACCGTACTCCTTGTACGCCCAGCGTACTCGCCCAACATAAAAGCCCTAAAATGACAACAAAATTAAAGATGAAGGGCTAAATAAAAGGGTACCTAGATT